GGAGGGGGGAAGAGAAGGAGGAGAAAAAGATTATATCGCCGTGAAAACTGAATGTCGTATCCGCAAGAATACCGCCGGAAAAATGGAAAGGAACGGTCCCGGAAGAGAAGAGCCTCTTCTCTCTCTCTCTCTCTTTCTCTCCCCTTCGACGCGCAACAACCTCGCGACGTTTCGCGCCCCGCGCCCACCCGCGGATTCTCGTCGCTTCAATTCCGACCATTTCGACGATTTCGGCGGGCAGGCTTGAGTCTACGAGCTCCTCCCGACGAAATTTCCTCTTCATCGTGACGGATCTCTCGCCGCGTCGACGATCGCGATGCATGTTAATCCTCCTTCCCCCTCCCTCCCGCCCCTCCTCCTGTTCCCCGCAGAGGCGAGGACGAAGATGAGGAAGCGGAGGTTCGCGGATATATGACGGTTTAAGGAGATGGTAGAAGTGGTATATATGTCGCGCGACGATATATCGAGGCTGGTTCCTATAAGCAATGTCGGATTGCGAGTGATGAATATTCCTATCCCGGGCGAGCTTCCGGGATCGGAAGACGACCGTTTCTGTGCTGTCCGCGTGATTAATAATGCCGCGTGTGTTTCGCGCACAGCGAGCGTATTTCGTATTCGACAAAGCCAGAATCGGATTTTTTTTTATTCTGTAAGATTTATCTTATTTTCGAAATTATCGACGAATTACAAATTTAAAGGCAAAGTGAACAGCCGAGTTTTTAATATAAATAATATTGGTTCGACTGTTTTTTCAAATAAATTTAAATAATGTAATTAAATAAATTGTACATCTAATGTATTCGTGTGATATAAATTACCGTTAGTTTTTTATTTTATTGCTGTTATATATATATATTTTAATTTAAATAAAAATGGATATCCACCAATATTGACAATTGCAGATAACTCATTTTTTATTCTCGTGACTCTACTTTTTCTCGCTTTCAAATGATGAAAACGCCTCCTCAATTTAATCTTGAATATCACTGACAATCTATTTAATTGACTTGCCATGCATGTGTTATTATTATGTGTTTATTATTATTTATTATGAGTTACGTTAATTTTAATATTTGACTATTGGTGTGATTTTCGCTAATTTTGTAGTTTGTGCTAAAATGTACCTAATAATATTTTCTTCTATTATGTGTTTTATCTTTTATCTATAATTGTTTTTTCAGTCAAAGAGAACTAAATAATATAGACGAAATGTCTGTCAATTTTATAACATTATTGTAAGTAAATAAGTCATAAATATTTTATACGTCAACCTTTTATTGCTCGTTATATATGTATATAGATCTATCCTTAATACAGTCTATTTTAAATAAAAACGAGTGGCTTATATTGAGGATTTAATGTATTTAAATTTTTAAATGATAGAAATAAATACAGTTTTTAAGCAATCGCGCAATTAATAATCCAAATTCGACTGCAAGCATAATTAACGGTATTACGTCAGAATTTGCGAGAAGAAAATCATCCGAGTAGAATCCTTTCATCATTGACATTATTCCAGAAAACTTTTCATTTGATAATGGACGGTTTACACCAGGGACATGTAAATACGCGGACGTACGTACATTCACGCGCTCTCTTATCACTCATGCTGTTTACCACCCACTAAGCTTTCAAGCATTTATCGTTAATTAACATTTTTAAAGAAACTGCAGCGAGACGCATTAACGCTAAAAGGTGCGCATTATTAACGTTGCAGCTCGGCACTTGGTGTTTTTCCCCGCCGACCTCGATTGTTCTCGCAAATACCGGCGGTCTTTTACAGTGACAGTTTCGGTAAAATTAGCACTCTGCCTTCGCAACGTTCGCGATACCTTCGCGATTTCCTTGCCGCGTCCACCCTTTCAACAGATAATCCACTTCCTTCCCTTCTCTCCCCTGCAATTCCTGGGTTTCAGTGGAATTTTCTTCCCAAGAGAATCTTCCGATTCGCGCGACTCGCTAAATGCGACAAGCGCGTTTCTCTTCGGCGGATCTTCAACGGCAAAGCGGAAGGCGACGAAATCGCGCGCGTTCGTCACGCGCGCAGCATTATGTACACATCGGACATGGCCGAGGAACGTACCGTCGATTCCTCGTAAAACCGACGCGCTCCCGATCTTTCGTCGCGCGAAACCCTCGCTCGCCGATATCTCAGCTCGGTGGATTTCCTCCGGCCGGGGAGTTCCCGTTTCGCGCCTGACCGAAATATACGGCGGTCTGTTTCTACTTACGGCGCGCGCGCGGCGATAAATTTCGCGCGGCTAATTGAGAAGAATTACGCTGTGAAAGTGTCAAAAAAATCGCGTAGCGTGGCGGCCTGTGTGTAAAATATTGCACGCAGTTATAAAAATTACAAACGCGCGTCCCCATTAAGTGCAATTAACGGCGGAAAATTATGGAGTTTTTGCGCGAGAGAGAAAATAGTTAATCTATAACCCTCGTCCCATTAATTAACAATTGTAAAATTATAATAACTCTGTCGACTTATTTTAATATATACAGAGTGTCCGGTACTCAGTGGTAAAGTATTTGTGGGCAGGTAGAGTGGACTATAAACTATCTCTATCAAAAAGTCTTCTACCATTTTGCGATCTTCGCAATAGTTATCAAGATACTATAATCATTAACAAACAAAAAAAAGAAAAAAAAATTACGCTAAAAATATAAAAAAGTTTTGTATATTATGTCTTTCTTAAACAATTAGTCATTTTAATCACTTTAAACCTGTTTTATGAAAGTTAAAATTATTTGAAAAGACAATGGCATGTACTTTTGGATGGTTTAAACGGTTTATTAAAAAAATATTTTTAATTTGAAATAAAATATTGTTGTTTCTATGTCTAATCAAATACTTGGCGACTTGTATGACCGCATATTTGTTTTTGGACAATTTTTATTTGTTAAAATAACATTTTTGATTTAGGAAAGATATAATGTATACGATACTTTTTTATATATGTATACTTGGCATAAATTCTTCTTTTTTAAATGATTAGTATCTCGATAACTATTGTGAAGACCGCAAAATGGTAGAGAACTTTTCGATTCAGTTTAGCCCACTCTACCTGCATTTATAAGTGGTTTATCACTAATTGTGAGTACCGGATATCCTGTATATTAGTAAATTTATTTTTATGCCTCCTCTCTCTCTCTCTACAGCTTTTATTTCTTACCGTCATCTTCAGAGCAATTTGTACACGTGCATATAAACGCACCCTGTATACGTACTTTGGCGGCGAGTCCGCGAGGTCTCGGATCTTGGCGCGGGTTGTTAGCTATAAGCGAGCGTGAGTTTAGTGCCATCCATTTGCCAAGGCGGCGACGGCAGATGGGGGAAAAGCGAGTGGAAAAGAGGAGGGCACGCGGGCGATAAATGTAGTTGGCTTGGCTCTGCCCGAGCGCACGATCATTCTTGCCCGCCCTGCGGCGCCCGAAGTCGTGGGGTTTAAAACGTCATTCCGTAGAACGGTCGATTACATTTTAGCCCGGCGCGGCGAGGCGGGTGGGTCGGGCGCCGGATCTGATAATGCCGGAGACTGTTGATTTTTCCGTCTTGGGGAGGGGCGTGCACCTCGCGCGCGGCACTCGAAAACGCGCAAAATTGATCGTCCAACTTTCAGCCCCGCAACGAATTACGAGCTGCTCCACCGTCACGGGCATTGACGTTAAATACATCCGAGAAGTGAGCGTTTGAACGGGGGATTTCAGATAACGAATTTTTACGACGGCGCGAAACGCGCCGATCAATTGTCGTCGTGCTCGAAAATTGCGGGGAATTTCGGTTGACGTTGGAAGAACTTCCGACGGGATATTTCAACGATAGAGAATAGTTTTGATATTTCTTATGGCTACAATCTCATGTACGAGATTCCATCAATACGTATCACGTATGAATATGAGTAGCCTAGAATATTATGAATTGTTGATCTGATCATCAATGCATCAGATCTTGTTATTAGGAATTGAACCTTGCCAGGACGACTCGAGATTCCGCCAGGTAAAAAAAAAAAACATCCGGCGGTGGATCTTGGCGCATCTTGAAGCGCGAACAATTCTCGCGGTTGTGTTATTTACTACTGAAACGAGATCTCTAGGATTTTCAAATCGCGGCATGTTTATGGCGCGTGAAACTTCGGTGCTTCCGACGAGTTATGCGCCCGCCCGCAACTTTTCAGGGAACCCGCGTGTAATTTTAACATGTCCGGGGCCCCAATGGATGCCGTAGTTTTCACCGTGTTATTTGGCGCGGATCGCGCTTTCATGCTTACTGAAGCAGCGACGCGAAAATAATTGTGCAATTGTTGAAATGTTCATTTTGTCTGAACTATTTAAATTTTACGTCGGTAAATTTAGAGTAGCTTTATTGGTAGAGCTTAGAGATGTAAATAGAAAAAAAACCAAATTGTTTCTTTTTTTCATAAAATAAATTTTTTTAAGAAAAAAAACATAAGCCTCGTTTTATTTTCAAAATTTTGTTTTTTTCAGCTATTTATTTAATATCTATATTTTGCTTAATATAAGTTAATTTTTCATGATTTTTTATTTTATAGATAGTAGATTTAAATTATCATCATTTTAACCTTTACGCAGAACGAAAAAGTCAATATATTGATTCTGAAACATATTTTAAAGCAAGGACTTCAATGAATAATCCTATCTTAAAATTGCTATGTTATCAGCTGCATTGAAGCCTCTTTTCCCCAATGTTTAAAAATTCATATCTTTCAGAAAAGTAAAGATATCGACTTCTTTCTGGGCTCATCTGAAAAATGAAGGCCAGATTATGTGGCTATTTTTTAAAAAATCGTGATTTTATTTTAAAATGGCTGGTCAAAACGTCTATTTTTTTTAAATTTTTTTTTCAAAACTTATTAAAATTTGTTTAATTAAAATGTAAATTGGTATAAATGTTATTGGAAAATGTATAGGGTTTAATATGCAGCGCGCGCTTCGCGCGCGCCTGTTATGTACTAGTTATAATAAATTCTACTTAAGGAAAAGCTGTTTAGAAAAAGAATAAAAAAAATTCTCCTTTTATAAAAGTTAAATGTAGATCACATTAAAATTAATTATATAATTATATAATTACTATTTACAATTAATTAAACGTGCTATCGGAATTAGAAAAAAAACCAAATTTGTATTTTTTCAATGAAATAAAACACATTTTTTTCTAATGTTTTTTCTTATTAGAAAAAAAAAACGTTTTTTTTTACATCTCTAGTAGAGCTAGAGTATTCTTTACTCTTTAGAGATTCAATCGACAAATAATTAAAATCGAGTAAAAATATAGTAAAACAAATCGAAATATTATTATAGATTAAAAATCAAGTCAAACTGGGCTGTACGTATAACGCCGCTAAAGGCAGCGTCAGTGTAGACACACGATAAGTTGGCGATTTTTGACTTGAGCGGGAATTCAAGGTCGCACGTGAAGCTCGTAAGGTTGCATGTCACGGCACGCCGTCGTTTGCGCGACGGTGGTCCACCTTGTCTTTTTTCCCGCTGCTATCGTAGCCGGGCGGGCGGGCATTAAAGGATGGTTGAAGGATCAATCGGGTGGAAGAAAGCCGAGGAGACGCGAGGGAGAGAGAGAGAGAGAAAGAGAGAGAGAGATCGAGGGAGTCGGGCGAGAAATAAAGGAGGCGCTTTCTCTCTTACCGGCCTTCACCGTGATTTCACGGCCGAGCACCTTGCCGACGCTATTCGACGCCTGGCACCGATAGACGGCCGAGTGCACGTCGTGCCGGTAGCTCTCCGCGCCGAACGGCAGGAAGTACATGGAGCCGTTCACCAGCATCTCACGGATGTTCGGTATCGGCAGGACCGGCGAGCCGTCGCCCATCAGCCAGTCGATCCGCGGCGACGGGCTGCCGTGGGCCGAGCAGTGGATCATCGCCCCGGTGTCGTTCGAGAACTCCACGCTCGAGCGCGGCTCCGAGACCAGCACCGGCCCTTGGCTGTCCAGCACCACTCCTCGTCCTGGAACAAAGGGAGCAGAGCGAAACGCGGTCAGAGAGAGAAGAACGGTTTCCTTTGTGCGAAACGAAACGCGAGTAAAAATACACATGTGGAATTTTTTCGCTGTTGATTCTAGCCCTTATCTGAAATTTAAAATGATGTCTCCTCTAAGTATTTTATGCCGGCAAATTTAGAGTAGTTTTATTAGTAGAGCTAAAGTGTTCTTTATACTCTTTAAAGAGACACTATTGATAAATAATTAAAATCGAATAAAAATTAATAATACAGTCGAACCTCAATTGATAACTCAAAACCTCTACTTGAAAACACAGATTTCTGTACTATTTCTATTTCTGTGCTTGAAAACCTCTATATAAGGTGCTCTTTCATGCTGACACTCGACGCTCATTTTTAGCGTCAAAATTACGTGATCATATAATTGGCTTGCACGAAAAGCGGCAACATCAAGTTTAAAGCCCTATCTACATAAGTCGCAAAACGCAAAACGCAAACGCAAACGCGGACGTTTCTTTCTTTCTTTTTTTTTTTTTTTTATGTTTCGTTCTATTTTTTTTCTCCGCGTTTGCGTTTGCGTTGTGCGTTTACGACTTATGTAGATGGGGCTTAACGTTAATCGTATCATTCGTATCTAAAAATGTTCAGAACAAAACAAAAGAAAACTGTTCCCTTGAGATTCGAGTTATCAAAGTTCAACTTGTTGTACACGAAAAGAACGATTTTGGTGAAAGGTCTAAAAATTTTGCTAAAAACAGATCTGAAAATAATTTTTTGTTGAATTATCAAAATAATTTGTTGGAATGTTAAAACTGATAAGCATTGCTATAAAACGTTTTGATATTCTAGCAATCATTTTGACTTTCGCACAAAATTATTTTGATTATTGAACAAAAATTATTTTCAGATCTAGATTCAGCAAAATTGTTCTTTCCGTGTATAATATTAAAAAAAAATCGAAATATGGATTAAGAATCCAGTCAAATGAGAGATGTACCAAAAACCGACTTCGAGTTACGAACGATGCTGAGGAGGGGCGGAGGTTTTTATAAAGCGAGTGAAATATTAAATTGGCGCAAACTGTTTGCCATATCCGTCAAGACAAAGTTGGAAACGAAATTTTAGTAAAACTGAAGGGGCAAAATTGCCTCCTGCTTTTCTTCATCTGGACAAAAATTTTTCAACCCCTACTCAAAGAACTTTAGCCTTCTCTGGCTATATTTAATATACAAATGGACTTTAACAAAGATGGAGAGAGGAGCAAACCTCTCGCAACAATCTAATAAAAACGAAAGCGTACATGTTTAAAATTCGAGCGGACTTTACGACTTCTTTGAAATTTCAATCTGGCACTTAAAGACCAGGGGTACATTTACAACATTGAACTTTTCAAGTTTGCCGTCTACTTTCAGTCGCAAAATCTTACTTTCGCGATGGAATGCGCATCCACAAATCGTTTTCTCTCTCTATCTCTCTCGCTGCAGCAATAATCCCGCATAGTTTTCGGAACAGTGGCAAGCACGCGCGCGCGTATCGGGGAAACAATTTCCCATAAATCTCTGCCAATTTTTACGCGGCTCAGAAGACGAGAAACGCTCCGCCAGGAGAAGTCGAGATACGATGGTTTATGCAACATTCACGACGTATTCGGAGTAAGGAGTTTAGACTGTAAAATGCGCAAAAGGCATGCGATATACGTTACGCGAACGTCGCGAACGTAGAAAATGCGATGCGTGGCATATGGGCATTACGGTGGAAAATGCGCCGGGACGAATGCCGCGATTTTAAAAAAGCGTACGCGCTCGGGGAGAACCATCCATCCGAGATACAGCAATAATGTCGATTCTCGGTCGTGTTCTCCGTCTGCATCGAATATTGAATCACGTACATTTGATAGGACAATCTATGCCCGTCCTCGATGCAAGAAATATTACTGCATGAAGAATGCATAAATACGGTTGTCTGGGAAAGTTCTTTAATTCCTATCTCTGAACGCAAACGTTGTTTCTTCCTAAAAGAATCTATTTCAAATTATTTTAATAGTTTGACATAGATTCTTAAATTAATAATAATAATAAATTTTCCAATTATTAAAGTAATTTGAAACAGCTATTTTTCTAGGAAGGACCAACATTTGCGTCCAGAGATAGGAATTAAAGAACTTTTCTAGACAATCGTTTGAAAATATAAAATAGGGTAATATTAGAAATTTAATTGAAGGTATTAAAAGTAACCTTCCGCGGAAAAATTCATTTTAAAAATTAATTTTAATTGATATATCCTTTAAATCCTTGACGAACATGAAAATATAAAAAAAAATAATAATCTTCAGGATTATTCGGTGTATCGACAAGGAAATAAGATTGCGGTTCAATTATAAAAGGCATCGGTTCTCTCGAGAAGCAAGATAATATCGGCAAAACGGAAAGAAAGAGAAGAGAGAGCGGGAAAAAAAAGAAATTATCCGATTTTGATATTATGTTAAAAGGCGCAGGATTGCGGGTCGTCGAATCCCGGACGGGAAAGATTCCTCTCTCGGGTATCGAGAATAAAAATGCCGTGGTGGAAGAGGGATCTAACGGATTGATCGCTCCAGTTACGACTACGGATTCGTGCAAGCCGTCTTTTCATCGGCAATAAAACGTATATCGCGCTCGACGGCGCGCACACCCGTCGCCGCGCCGCGTGTCCTCTTTCACTCCTTCACCTCCAGCCTTCTGGTTTCCTGCCCCGTCGCGCGAGCGACGGAGTATCCGGTTGGAAGATAACATAACGAGGTTATTAACCTCGGCCGTGTGATCTCCCTCATCAGTAAATTTGGACGCGCGTCAGATGAACCAATTTAGATGTTACTTAAATTTTCATTGCGTTAAATAAAAGAGAGAGAGAGAGAGATATCCGTGGTAATGGAAAATGTAGCAGTTGTGTAGCAAGCTTCTTACATCTTCCGTGAATATTTTACCGTTTGGAGAATAATCGTTAAGAAATTAAGATCGAAATTTCATTTTAATACATTTGCAAAGTAATGCGATAAGACGTCACAAAATGGAATCGTTCAGCCGAATCAATTCAACTTTAAATCTGAATCTTAACGAGAGATAGCATTTTCCAAGCTTATCGCGTATCGATATAAACACTCGTCGTAATAATATGCGAAATTGTTATATCGAATTTATATATCGAAATTGTTCCTCCGCGCTAATCTGCCATCTTCCTCTCCCTTATAGTCGCTAGTGAAATGCGCGTACACGCGTTTGACACAACCGAGCGCACACTTCTGCTCCGTCTCGCGCCGCGATATCGCTGCATTTTCCCCCGCGTTCCACCCTTTTCTTCACCCCCCCCTCCCCCTACTTGCCCGCTCGCTCTCATGGCGGAGGAAATCTGATAGAGGATCTCCGCCGCAGCTGATGCCAGCACTTCCGCAGCTTTGTCCCCGGAACCCACGGAACCTTGTTTTCCGGCGATCGACGAGGACTCTCCCCGCTTGAGGGGTGAGGGAGCGCGGTAGGGAAGAGGGGAGGGACGAAGATCAAACGAGATAGGGGCCGGGAGAGAAAGAGAAAGAGAGAGAGAGAGATGGAATGGGTGAGCAGGAAGGAGAAAGAGAGCGGTACCCGCGCGGAGATCGGTGCATTATGCATGAACGGTAGTTTGATAACCTGGACGTCGTTTTGCCCACAGAGAACGTCGCGATACATGGCGCGCGGCGCATCCCGATACAGTATACACAGTACGCCCCGCGTATATATATATACACGCGGGGCGTACAGTATGTGTACACGCGCCCCATACAGACAGGGCCGAGCGACGTTTATGCGCGGCGCTTCCTGCGTTCTACAACCCCGATGCACCTGCGCCACCCCGGCTTATATGGCTATGGTATACCGGCACATCGTCTCTATGCCGCGTTTATACACACGCCATCTCGCATCCCTCATCCCTCCTCCCCCCCTCTCTCTATCTTTCTCTCTCTCTTCGGTTACTGTCCTTGTCTTCCGCATCCCTGCAACACGATACCGGATGACACCCGCGTCCCCCTCCGGCGCGAGCGACTTCCTACTATATGCGTAGCGAATGACAGTCGCGAAAAACTCGGTGGCCTGTGGTCGATGCTAACGAACTTTCGCTTCGTTAGCGAGGAATTTGCGTGGAAATCGCTAGTCGCGCGCGCCACACTCGCGTGTAACTCGACTCCGCTGAAAACGCGTCATTCACACCTGGATACGTTGCAGTTTCAAGAAATTATTTGCACGGCTTATATAAGCTTATATGTACATGTATATAAGCCGCGTTGCGTGCTAGAAGTAGAACCTTATTGCGCCACTTGATGAAATTGCAATTTAATGCGAGTGAGAAATGTGCAATTTTTAGAGACGTGTAATTATGAACTTGAAATAATTTTAATTAGTACTAGCTTTGATTTTATATTAAAATAAATTAACTTAAGGTGGTTCTTTAGTATTTAAATCGTAGAGAGCCTGTAATCAGAGTGGCGCCATACGGCTGTCACTATTGATTGATGGATAATTTTGTGGGTTGCGGATAGACTGAGATAGACTGTTGGATAAACTAGGTGAGACATATTCTCTTTCTCTCTTGCGGAATTTGGTAAAAAAATGGCGTCACTTCTCTTATGGCGCCACTCTGATTAGAGGCTCTCTAGTAAATCGTTACGACAGAAATGTAATTTTTTTATGTAATGAAGTTAAAGTACCGAACTTGACGTGTGCAAAATTGTAGGATAGGTCATCGATGAAATAAGAGAGAAAAAGAATGTTGAAAATGTAACTTTTCACGTATACGTAGTGACAGATTGAGATCAAAGACGCTTTTTTGACTAACTGCAGCTTACAAACGACAGAATTTTCTGAAAAACGAGATTATAGTAGTTTAAAAAATTACAATTTTAATGGTCACAAAAAAGTAATAGGTCACCGCCATTCTGAAAAGATATTTAATGTTGAAATGAAAAAATATTCCACAATATACCTCACACGGCCTGCCAGTTTAATTTCTTTTTAGTGATTTTATTCATCATTTTTGCATATACTAAATATCGCTTGTTTCATATTATTTCATTAGATATACACGCGTAGTTTTAATATTTCATCCAAATTATGATTTTCGATGGGCCCTGGTGAGGCGCCCCAAATCTTCGGCACTTTACTAAAGAACCACCTTAATCTGTTTATGACTATCTGTATATTTGACTACAATGAAATGTTACATATCAAGCGAAGCAGTAGCGGCGCAACGTCAAGTATACAAAAACAGTTCTTTTACTTTCAACGAATGAGAGAGCAAATATGGCCCGTGAAGCATGCGATTACTGTAATCGTTTACAGTAAGCGATGTAATCGGCATCATCGAGTTGTTCCGCACTGAAGAGGA